TTTTTTTTTTTTTTTTTGGGCCGTCTTTTGCCCAGTTCAATATGCCAACTATAAACCCAGCAACTTGGGATGGTCTGGTGTCTCTGCATCGAACCATTTTAGCCAGGAATAAATATATAGACGGATGGACCGACCAAAGGACGGACGGACGGACCAACGGACCGACCGATCGATCAATTGATCGATTGATTCTCATCTTTTGACTGAGTATAATAACCAGCTACATTTGTTTGTTCAACGTTCGGTCAACCAGCATGGACAGAGAGAGCGCCGTGTGGCCCGGAAAGAAATCGTGACCCTGCTGGTCCTCATGGTTCTGCTGGGCCTGTCCTGGGGGCTGATCTTCTTCTCTTTGGGCCAGCTTCCTGCTCCGGGCCTCTATGCCTTCTGCATCCTGAACTCTCTGCAAGGTTTGAACTTGTTATTACAATGGCTTTGCTCTGTTAAGGCCAACACATAGCAGCACATAGCATTGAACTTCCAATAAAATAATCTTCAATGACTGTATGACACTCTGTGTGTATAACTTTTATATGCGAGTGAATAACATGGATTTGTAGGTGAGGCATTTTCAGAGTAAAAAAGTATTTAATGCAGTAACTATTTTGTATCTGAACATATTTTTTACTCATTTTGTTTTGCAGGTTTCTTCATCTTCATTTACTTTATGTTGCATTTGAAGAATTCAGGAAACCAATCTGCCACTCCGAGCCCTGCAACGCAGGTTGAAAGCTCCTGATCTCCAACGGGATCTTACTCAGAGAGACATTCAGCACTGATTCATTGGTCTTTTGTTTGCCTTAAGGAAATGTTTCAGAACATCAAACAGATCTACACATCAGACAAATGTAACACATAAACACAAAATGCAACATTTCAATCAAAAAGTTTCTTCCATCCATCCATTCTCTTCTGCTTATTCCAAGATGGAGTGATTGTTAGGACCAATGAAACAGATCCTCTCAACACCAAGTCCAAATTACAGACCTATATCTGACACAGGGATCTAAAGAACATATGAAGGGGGCCGGTACTCGATAGTCATGAAGTAACGCTCTCAGGAAACCCCAAGGGGCACGATTAAATACTTTCTCCAAGTTGACAAAACCCATCTAAACTTGTCTTTATATTGTTTTTTGTTGTTGTTGTTGACACAGGGACAGTGTAAGACATTTCATTAACTCTTTGAAAGAACAGATGCATGGTACCAGGTTAAAGCAAAGAATGCTAATTTCCACCTGCAGTCCCAGGTCAGGCTCAGTTTTGTCTGATTTAACGGATTATAAAAAGCCAGTTTATGTTCAGCCAGATTTTACTAAACTGTCTGAACATGTCTGATATGTAATTATTCAGATCTCAGCTAAAACCAAGCAAACCAAACCACAAACTAACAGACAATTCATGAAACAAATTATTTGCCTTGATCAATAATGAGTTCTGATCTTCTTATTTAATAGGCATATTTTTTTGCCATATGTTTTGTAACTAGAACATGTTTGGCAAACTATTCCAATGACCAGGCCTGTCAACGATAACTTGTCCCAATAATTATCGCGATAAATGATAATGTCATTGTTTTGAGACCATTTTCAACGGATATGTTGATAATGGTATAATAAAGCAAGTTGGCTCTCAGAGACCAGTAACTTTTGTAAGTAAGACAAGAACTGGAAGATATTTTAATTATATAATAATAAAACACAACAACCACAAACAAAAAACAAAATGGAAATAAAAACCACACACAAACGAAACCATAAATAAAATGGATTGTTATGGGTCTGTAAACAAAATCACCCTTCAAAAAATACTAATCATCAGAATGGAAATTATTGAGCCCCTTTTAATTGATAGTGCAATTAGTTGATTTATTGTTTATTGACTGGTTTCTGCCTTCTCCTGTCACAAGAGAAGGCAGTTTTATGAAAAGCAGTCACATTTTTGGATGCTGCACTCACCTCTAGAGGTCGCCCTTGTGACTCTGATCATGTTATCTCATCTCAAAAGAGAAAACTTTCTTAAAGGTGGAGTAACAATCAAGAATTTTATAAACTCAACAAATGTCTGCATAAAATATCAGATTTTTAAAGTTTATAAATCATACTTAGAATAATTATAACAGTGATGATATTGTCTGGATCCTCCACAATACTGTGATGACCGCAGATATTTAATGTTCCTTTTAAGGATGACTCAGCTAGTTACAGGCAGCAGCTCCTGTTCACACACCGGGTCAGGCTGCTGTGAATATTTCCCCTTCATAATAAGCACTCTCATTTCAACAGTTCATTTTGTGTTTACTTGTGTTATCTTTGGCTAATGTTTACATTTGTTTGACCATCAAAAAAATAACAAATCATGAAGGAGTGAGATTTTTTTTCCATCACTGCAAGTTGTAAAGACTTACACATGAAGATTAATTCAAGTCTTGATGTTTTCCTGCAGTTTTGAAACACTGTCCTTAAACTTTTCAAATACAATGACGCTTGAGAGAGTGTTTATCCATCCTCAGTTGATTTTTCACTGTAATTCCATTTTTTTTATGCTTTTTACTCCTTTTAGGCTTTTAAGCATATGGATGTAATGTAGGTTATTAATTTGCTTATTGCCTTTGCCTATTAACTGTGCCATTCATTTAACTGACAGTGTGTCATTTTTAGAATATTTGAATCTTCAGCATCTCTTATGATTGAAATCCATGGTGAATTGTTTACAATGATTATTTTCTTTATGCTGTATATTTATGTAATGTGCATGCATCTGTATTTCTCGACAATTATAAAAATCATTGAATAACTGCCTCTTGTTATCAGGAAGTGGTTGTGGGTGGTGGTGAGGATAGACACAGAGACCCAGGTTTCGGTGATGATGAATTTAATAATAAAGCTCAGAACAGTCCAAGAACAGGCAGCACGGCGGAGAAACTAGCACACAGCTAGACACCGGTAGCAACTGATAGCAGGACTGGAAATAGGCTCAAACTCTATCCAGGACTTCACAGTTCAACTGGAGCACATAGACATCAACACAACAACTTAGACAAACCTAGACAAGGACCCGACGAGGAACATAGACAACAGGTGGGTTTTAATACAGACGGGTAATCAAGGGAATGAGACACACCTGGGAAACAATCAACGGGGAAGACGCAGAGACTCAAAAATAAACACACAGAAACACGGAACATGACACTTGTCACTTGACTCAAAGCGTTTTGTCTTCAGAGACTCAGTAAAATATGGAGAGCCATTTCAGCCAAAATTAAATAAATAAAAGAAAAAGGAAAATAAATCAGTAATTGACTTCGTTATTCCTATTTACATTTATTCATTTATACATTCACTTATTTTATTTATTTATTCCCGCATTTATTGCGGTCTGTCCTTTTATCCATTTCCTTATTTTCCTTATTCATTTATACTTTCCGTTTTACTTGGGAATAAATAAATAAATAAATAAATAAATAAATAAATAAATAAATAAATAAATAAATAAATAGGAATAAAAAAGCCAATTATTTATTTACTTATTTATTCACCTAATTTTGGCTGAAATGGCTCTCCATAGAAATGTGTCTCCACTGTGTTGTACAAACAAGAATAAAATCATTTGTACATGAAATTTGCACATTTGATTAGCAAAGATTGCTAATCAAATGAAAGGCAGATCATTTATACAGAGAGAACTCTTCCTGGATCTGTACACAAATTATCTGGAACATAATGTCACATTTTGGTTTTATCTTTGTCACTCATTTAAATGTTTCTGGGGGTTTCAGTTTTTTTCCCCAAACAACTTCCTACAGAAGTGTTAATTCCGCCTACCTTCTGCTCTGCTTCCTGCTGTCACATTGGTTGCGCTCTGGTATCGTTTCACATAAAAACTATAACAATATCTCAGCGACATGCAGAGGTAAGGCTATCATGTTTTATCATGTTTTAATGTTCAGCTTCAAGGGCGCTTCTGGTTGTGGCGATGCAGAAATCTGACCTGAGCTGTGCTTGTTGTTTATTAATCTGCACAGGAAAGGTCTGCAGCGATGCAGAGGCTTTAATTTGAAGTGAGAAAACTTGCAGTTATTTCTGTTGGAAGGCCATGAAACTATTTTGAGATGTTTCTCTTACTTTTAGCAGAGAAGCTCAAAAACATTTTGAATTGTAAATTTAGGAGATCTAGCTGGTGGTGTTAAGAAAAGTGATGGAGCTTATTGAAGACAGAATAATCAAACAGGTTTACACTTGACCAAGATCTGTGTGTGTGTGTGTGTGTGTGTGTGTGTGTGTGTGTGTGTGTGTGTGTGTGTGTTTCTGATATTGATTAGCATTGTTTGCGTTGCTAACTGTACACATCTTGCTCTGTGTGGAGAACAGAAAGCCTCTCTTTCATTCTGAGAAATACTAATATTTCTAAATCCATTGGTGCTGTAGAGTACAACGAACCACCACAGCAGTGTGGGTAATATTACATTTTATCTCTCTGTAAATCTATAACATGTTTAGTCATTTGAATGGACTCTTGGCTTCCCTGTCACAGCGGGTGTATTTCCTGATTGGTTGAGGGGTCTTGTTTTTGGTAGCAGCAGCAGATGAACAGATCTCACAGCTGGAAAAAGCAGATTTCCAGTGAACACCTTTCCAATATGGTAAATTCCCAGCATTCAAGAGCTGGTCACAGACTGTGGCGTTTGCTTTTCTCTGTGCCAGAAACTGCTGTTAATGTTAACAACTCATGGTGTTGGGGACTGAGCTGATGGTTCTTAGTGTTATAAAAGAGAAAATTTGTTGGATCGGCATCATGACAGGTCTGTAACCTCCGTCTGATATGTTGGTTATAACATGACGTGAAGCTCAAAAAACGTTGATTTTACATAAAGCTACCCCTTTAATGAGTCAGACATTTCTGCTATAAATGTCTGAAGACCTTCAGCAAGAAATTGGACTCTGGACGGAACTAAAACATTTCCTACCAGCAAGATTCTTGTTGAACCTCAAACTTGGTTTCAAAAAAAAAAAAAAGAAAGAAATTGCTTTATGTGGTTGAAATGGTTCCAGGACAACTTTCATCAGGCTTTACAAGCTTCACAACAAATCAGTTTGAGTAATGGAACAACTACTCTGTCACCATTTTGTCTGCAGGGTGTTAAAGCTGGTGTTGAATGTGGATAAGACGAAAGCAACAGGGTTTTTTTTTCTCTTTTTTGTTGCACTCTCAAAAACTATCAGGGATCCATCTGTTGCTTACCACTGTTTTAGGAGCACAAATTGAGTTTGTCACTAATTATGACTATCTTGGCTTTATTGTAGATAAACAGCTTTCTTTTAAAAAGCACATAGCAGATTTGTTATTAACACTGAAGATAAAGATTTTTTTTATTATCATAATGGATCCTGTTTCTCTCTCAAAGCTAGAAGAAAATTGGTCTCAGCAACATTCTTACCACTCCTGGATTATGGAGATGCCTTATATATGACTGCATTGAGCAAATGTCTTCGGTCCTCGGATACTGTGTATCATTGTGCTGCGTCCTCTAAGCGTACTGAGAAACAATCACTTGATGGTCCTGATTTCTAAAACTCTACTCCTACATCGATCTGTTACTGCCCGTTATTTGCACTCCTGCAACATTTTCCTCTTGCATGTTCCATGTTTTCCAACAGAAAGAGGGAATCAAGTGTTCAAGTGTGACGGCTCCCACTGCATGGAATCAGCTCCAGTCTGAACTCAGGATGTCGGATCTTATTTCATTGGACTTATTTTGAGCGGTTCTAAATAACATTCAGTGTGATTCTATCAACCAGTGTCATTGTTTTTAAATTATTTTGTAATTTATTTTAAACTTGTGCGTATGTTTTAATATGTTGTGTGTTTGTGTAATCAGGTTGTTGTGTGTTGCAGATTTCTGCCCAGGTTTAAAATTAAAGATTTTAGTGGTGGTTTAACTGGCTAAATGAAGGAAAAAAAGAAAAATCAGAGGCTTTTCTTGCAGTTTGACTTTGAGCACGTTTTGTGGAACTGAGCCACATCTGTCAGCAGACTGAGTGTCACAGACAGATTCTCTCTGAAATTTGCAGACCTGTTTGACCTAGTGCAGTGCATGCATTTGCATCTTCATTTGAAAGTTAAACGTTGGGCTCATTTTACTCTTTCTGCTGCTTCTAAATAAAATGTTATAATGGATTACTTGTTAAACAGAGCAGTTGAAGTTCAGATTATTAGGCCATTAGTGTAAAGTCAGCAGCGCAGTCCGCCATCTGGATTTGGAGAAGAAATTAAAATTATTATATAGGTGGGTGGCATTCTGACACGACTCAATGGATAAATGTTATGTGAAGGGCAGGCGGCAGCAAAAATACTGGACTTCACTGCAAAAAATGAAAAATACTATAAAGTATTTTTACTGTAGTTTTGAGTGCAAATATCTTAGTATACTTGACATGAGACAAAGCTGGCTTAGATGGAACTTTTCAGCAAAATATAGCTGAAAAGTATTAATAATAATATCAATAATAGTGATTTTAAAAAGTTCTGGTTCCACCGGCAGATTATTTCACTCAGAACATGGGCAAAATGTCTTGTTAAAGGTGAAATAATTTGCGAGAGGAACTAGGGTTTTTTTTAATCAGTACTTAGATATTATTGACTAAAAAATTAATTGCTCTCTTGTTTTTCTATGATTTTAAAGTTTTGCTTTTACTATGGCATATAACAGAAATCTTGTGGCACAAAGACTAATTTC